CAGCGGTTCTTCTGACCGGAGATGAGGAAAGACCTGTTGCACTATGTTGAGACTTGTGAGTTGTGCCAAAGGAACAAGGTCGTTCGCCGACCTCTCCTTTGCCTGTTGCAGCCACTTCCCATCCCTGATGCACCAGCCCAGTCAGTGGCTATTGATTTCACTGACCTAGGGAGGACCACTCCTCACGGTATGCGCCAGGTCATGGTGTGTGTGGACAGGTTCTCCAAGTACGCGGAGTTTATTCCTCTGCCAGAGGAAGCCAGAGTCTCGGTCGTGCAGGTGGCCTTTGCGGATAGGTGGGTTACTCATCATGGACCACCCACCTCCATTGTCAGCAGATCCACGTTTCTGCAGCAATGAGTGGCAGTCCTATTGTAAGGACTACCTCCATTCCAGACTGGATATGACATCTGGTCGTCATCCTGAAGCCAATGGGCAGGCTGAAGTGATGAACCAGATTCTTTTCCAGTTGCTTCGTCCTGTGATCAGCCCTGATCAGCAGGATTTGGATCTCCATCTAGGACGGGCACAGCTAGTGTATAACACGTTTGTACACTCCTCCACAGGGTTCACCCCTTATCCGTTGCACTGGGGACGTGAGCCACGGCAGCCTCTCGATGACATCATCGATAAGGCTACCCCCAGACTGACTCCTGGAACTGCAGCATTCACCAGACAGTACAAGAGGGATACCGAATGAGCCAGAGTTAACCTGCTCAAAGCCCAAAAGGCTATGATCCAGCAGGCTAACAAGCATCGTCGACCATCCCCCATTCATGCTGGTGACTGGGTCTGGGTACTCAGTTCTGAGCTATCGCGGGAGGAGGACATTTCGCCCAAGCTGTTGCCGCGTTATATGGGTCCATGGCAGGTTTTGGATACAGTGGGAGCTGACCCTTTTGGGCCATCTTATCACGTGGATGTCCCACTGCATCTACAAATCTACCCTGTCTTTCATGCATCCAAGGTGTTGCCGTTTGTCCCAGCTGATGCATTTCCAGACAGACCTCCTCAATTTGGTCCCCCGATCCCTGGGAAGGGATATGAGGTGGAAAAAGTAGAGGATGAGTATGGTACAGGCCCGGATAAGGAGTACCTTGTGAAGTTTCTTTACTAGCCCCAAACTCAAGCTCGCTGGTTTACTCGCAAGGAGCTTCTGAAAATAGCAAAATCTGTTATCCTCAAATATGAGGCTGCGCAAAGGGGAGAACCCCTTCGACGCTCTGCACGCCTACCCCCCTAGCTCGAAGGTCCTCGCTCCGGGGGAGGGTAGGTCTGCAGTGACTTGCTGGTTCCAGGTTGCCTGTAGCCTCTCTCAGACGAGGTTGTACCATAGGTAGGGACAGATTCGTAATTTTGTTTGGCTGAGGGCTAACCGAGAGACCTACCTATAAGGAAACTTCGTGAGGGACATATTTGTAAATATAAGAGATATGGGCCCAGTACTAACTCAAATTTCCTACAGTTACCCTAACTGCGAATAGCAGACCCAGGCTACCCCTAGGTCAGACAGGCCCAATGGGCCTACGCTGATAGACAGTCCTATCGCCTATAGCCAAGTAGGGAGAGGCCCTAGAGGCTGAAACAGAAACGGTACCGATCGGTCAGTCAGTCCGGTCTAGGTCGTGTCTAGGCTAGTCTAGAGTATAGATAGGATGGGGACATCGGTCCTGGGCTTTTGGCAGTTGACATCGTGGTGGAAGTTGCTGCGCACACGGTATCAGGTCGTGCTTGCTGATTCCGGTGTGGGAGACGGCGGACATAGCCAGACCTTCGGAGCGCTGACCAGACTGGGGTCAACGCTGTCCGCTCTGACTCCCTGGGAGTCAAAGCGGTCTGGGCTATCAGAGGTCTGATGTGTTGGAGCACGTGGTGCACTGCTGACCCTCCTCAGGAGTAGGGTCCCAGTGGCATAGCTGCATCTTCTCAGAGGATATCATCGTCGAGTAGGGTCCCAGTGGCATAGCTGCATCTTCTCAGAGGATATCATCGTCTGGACTTCATCTTCATCAGGGACTGTTGACGCTGAGCTTCTTCTTCATCATCTGGGTGGCGATTGGCTCTGGGAGCCTGTTTCATCTTGGGGCAAGCCACTGAGTTGGATGTCAGGGTGCCGTTGGTTCTGGTGCTATTTTTAGCTGCTCGGTGTGTGTGGGGTTGAAGCGCTACCCCTCTGAGGGTAGTGCAACAGGGTTCTGAGGTTATTCAGTGAAAACGATGCTCTGAGTTGAATAAACAGTGGTATTACTGTGTTTGAGTTGTCATCTCTTCATTGATTTCTGGCTGTGATCACTCGGTTGTCTTCTATGAATGATTGTTGGGACTTGTGTGGAGAGAATCCACAGTTTTGTGTGTTCTGTCACTTCGCTCCTCTGAGTCTTCCGCTGCGTTCCTTTTGTTGGGCGGTGTGACACTCCACTACCTCTCCCCTTCCTGCTGTGCATGTATGGGCGTGTAC